ACAGATGTGTCACCTTTACCATATATATATATATATATATATATATATATATATATATATATATATATATATATATATATATATGTATATATATAAAAAGAAACCATTATGACAACGTGTTTCTTGAGGAACTTTATGAGGGCAAATTCTGAAATTTTATTTGGTAACCTGTATTCATGCACAGAAATTGAGGTTGCAATTTTAGAGAACGCTTTAATATATTCTAAGAACTTACCGTGTTAGGAATGCTAAACTATGGAAGGAGCTAAGTGGAATATTCTGTCGGACTATTAAATAAACGTGAGTCTATATTGTTTTTGTTATTGATTTTTGTCACATATCTAATTACTGTTTAATTACTTATTAGGTATTTTATTTATTTTGTTCATCTAATTATTTATTTTAAATTTTGAAATGCTATGAGTAAGCCATTTTTCTTTTAATTTCTTCAGATGTTTGTTGTCATGCTTAAGAATGCTGTCATTAGAAAGAAGCATTTCTTTGAAGAAAGGAAATATTTGCAAGAAACATCCAGGACGGATGTTAATATTTTGGTCAGAATTGATAACTGCACTTACAGCATTTACTTTCTCTTTTAATAAGTAAATCATTGTTGAGATCGAAGTTGTGCTTGAAATTATTTCTGTGTATAACAAATACATTGGATAAATTGTTTTGCTGGAGATATTTCTTATATTCATAAATACGCTTTTAAATTTCTGCAAGTGCTTCTCCAATGCAGGGTAAGGAAGAACTGTTTTGTTATGGCTTTCACCAGTCCAAGACTAGATAAGATGCCAAATGTCTTTATACCAACAGACACGCACACGCATACACACATATACACACACTGCATATACAGAAATATATATATATATATATATATATATATATATATATATTATTATTTGATAATTAGTAACTCCAAAGAGGATGTAAATTCAAAGAGAGTTCAATGTAAGAACAGAGCAAATAATAATGATGAAAGCGTAGACATTAGAATACCATGCTTATAATTTATTTCATGAGATCAAACTGACCTTGTCTCATCAGACCAAACAATTTTGCTGTAGAATTGTTTTGTCTAACGAGACGAAGTTAGTTTGATCTCGCAAAATAAATTATTACCATGGGTTTCTAAAGTTTCCACTTTTCATGATATATATATATATATATATATATATATATATATATATATATATATATATATTATATCCCATATATATATATATATATATATATATATATATATATATATATATATAGGTGTCCATGAAGTTTGTGTGAACATTAAAAATTTGTAATTTTATTTGTATTTGCAGTAGAAATAAATTGTAAAAAGGATTAGAAAGAAGAAAATCTATATTTTTTAAGGTTTTACTGAAATTTTATTTAAGTTTCCACATGTCCGCCATCATTAGCAATACAAAGGGTAATCCGATTTTGTACTTCACGGAAAACATTTGCCAACTGATTTATAGTAATGCCTGAAATCACATTAGTTATTTTAGCTATACTTAAAATTACAGATTATTTCCATCGCAAATACAAATAAAGTTATAAATTTTTAAAGTGCTCATGAACTTTATGGACATATATATATATATATATATATATATATATATATATATATATTTTTTTTTATAGGTTTGCAATAAAATTTTTAACCAAAAACACTATTCTTAAAAGTGGTGAGATAATATATATATATATATATATATATATATATATATATATAATATATAGCGTATGGAGATATAAAATTTATAATTCTCAATTACAGGAATAGAGCGTTGGAGATATAAAATTTATACTTGGGCAAATTCTTTAGATCATAACCTGAAAATTACGTCCCCGGCCTCTACACACATATATATGTTAGAAGCCGGTTGAAGCAAGGATATAGAAGTGATCGAAATTATTAGAAGGATTTGAGATAATTAACTAATTCGACGAGTCTAGAAGAAACCTCAACGAAATACAGAAAGCACTGGACGGCCGTTGGGGATTTATCAGCAAGGTGCATCCACTACTGAAAATTGAAACCTGGACAGCTATGATATGAGGCAAACGCCATACTAACTGTACCAAGACGTTTTTAATGTTCTCGATGGAGCGGCTTGCGGATAGTAGTCGTGGCTCCTGGGGGCACAGTTCTATGGATAAGGGAAACTCAGATGAGTTCTACCACGGTATATTTGATCGAGCGGCGCCATATCGGATCTAATTCGTTACCTCTTCGTCACCGAGTCCCCTTATCATGGTTTGAGGATGTTTTTTCTGAAAAAGGTGATGGCAACATATCCATAATAGATGGTAGAATGAATGAAGATAATGATCCTAAGTACACTGCAAAATCTACGAAGAAATGGCTTTCTAAAAATAATGTAAATATCCTAAAATGGCCAAGCCAATCCCCAGATTTAAACCCAATGGAGAATCTGTGTCGTTATTTCAAAATACAAATCCAATCGAGATCTCCAACAAACATCCCGGATCTGAAGACCATATCCAAAGATGAATGGAACAAAATACCAACTAAATTTTGCAAATCATTAATTGAGAACTACAAGAAGAGGTTGGTTGCTGTAGAAGTGAATAATGGCTTTTCTACAAAGTATTAAATGAAGATTATGTATTCCTTTTTGTATTGTTTGAATATATTTTTCAACCATTAAAATGGATAAATGGGATTTATTTCTATTAAATCATATTTTTTGTTTTCTCTGCATATTTATTTATTATGCATCTGTCTACAGTTGATTATATGAAAAATATGTTAATTCATTAGTTGGAAATACAATAAATGAAAAATTTGTATGTCTACG